GCGGGCACCGGCGCGCCTCCTCCTCCTCTGGTGACCGGCACGGCCCTTCCACAGCACAGCGGGTCTTCAGGGCGCGCCGCTGGCCGGCTGCTGCGAGGCCCAGCCGAACTTGAGAGGCGCCGTGAGCCGCCGTCCCCGCGCTGCGGTGACTCGGGCTCTTTGTTGCAGATGACTTGAAAGGAGAGCTGGACGAGTATGTCCAGAAATACCTCCCGGGGAAAGTTAAAGTGATACGAAACGCGAAGCGCGAGGGGCTGATCCGAGGCCGGATGATTGGAGCCGCCCACGCCACAGGTAGGACGGGGGGCCGCTGGGCCGGCCTGCCCCGGGCGCCTTCACTGCCCACGGGGGGACGGCGCACGCCGCCGACAGCGCCCCTCGGATTTCAGCGGGGGGCTCACAGGCCCTCAGTCGACCTGATGGCCATAAAGTCACTTCCTGAAAGTTGCTGCTGCTCCTGGGTCCTCAAGCACAGGCCGCGCACACTGACCCTGGGAGAGGTACAGGCCGAGCGCTGCTCCAGGGGAGGCGCCTGTTAGGCTGGATTGTGAGCGCTTTCCGGGTGGCGGCGGCCCCAAGGTCCCTTCGAGAGCTTTGCGCAGGTACAGGCCAGGCCCCGGCAGGAACGAGCCAGGGCTTGGGGCTGGGGCCAGGCTCACCTGGCTACGCTGTTTCGGGAGAGGAGGCGTCCGAATCCGTTTCGCCTCAGGAGCGCCGGCTGACCTTGCCCGGGAGCGGTGCGGCCGGAGCTGCCCAGACGCGGGCTCTCGGGGGTCGGGAGCCGCCGCGGTTAGCAGGACACGCCCGTGCTGGAGCCTGAGCAGCTGCGCAGACGCTGCTGGGCCTCTCCTCAGCCAAGCCGCCGACCCGCCCACGTGCCCGGACGCGCCGCAGTTAGCAAACAAACGAAGCGACCGCGGGAGCCCTCGCTCCCGCTTAGTTAAAATGCAGGATGGCAATTAGAGGCCACACGTGCAGGTTGCGGTCCCTGACTATGTGACTGGCTAGGGGAGGCAGCAGCGAGGGGAGGGAAGGCGGAAGTGGGGGCCGCCTGGCAGGAGGGCTGTGCGCTGAGCCCGCCCTTGCCCCCAGGGGACGTGCTGGTGTTCCTGGACAGCCACTGCGAGGTGAACGCCATGTGGCTGCAGCCCCTGCTGGCCGCCATCCGGGAGGACCGGCACACCGTCGTGTGCCCCGTCATCGACATCATCAGCGCCGACACCCTGGCCTACAGCTCGTCCCCCGTGGTGCGCGGCGGCTTCAACTGGGGGCTGCACTTCAAGTGGGACCTCGTGCCCCTCTCCGAGCTTGGGGGGCCAGAAGGAGCTACCGCGCCCATCAAGTAAGCGCCCCCCCCCAGGTCCGGAGCAGGTCCCAGGGGACGGCCGCGCCGGAGTATTCCAAGCGCGAGTCCTCCTTGGGAAGGAGCAGTGACGTGGGCCTAGCTCGCGTCCCGCGTCAGAGCCTGAGCGGGTGAAGGCGGACACGTCGTCCTGGCCAGTCCCGCAGGCCTGCCTGGTCGTGGGGCTCCTCAGCCTCGGCGGTGCTGGCCTTCTGCCAGGCGGCTCCCGGCGCGGGGCCCTGGCCTCACTTGCACCTCCCCGGACGGCAACAGAACGTTGGCTCAAGGGGAGCCTCGCCCGTCCTGAGCACCGGCCTCCTGACGGACCTGGGCCCCTGCCCGGTGCAGACGGGGCCCCGGGGCTCGCTCCGGCGGCTCTGAGCCAGCCTGTCGGGAGTGGGGTGACTCGGGCCGGCGGCTTTGTCGGGGCGTGGCCTTCAGCTGCCAGGCTCTGGCGTGTCGCGTCGACCCAGGGAACTC